TCATCATTTCGTGAAAATTAATTTAGGTGATGACCAGTATAGAATCTTATATTTTCATAGCATGTTATATGATTATTTTCTCGACTCCAACACTTTTTTTCCCTAATTCTTGTGTGGTTAGATGCAAGAGTCTGGTTGTTCCATTGCCATATTGATTCATAGCTGACTTGGGGATGATTAAGAATGTGAAAGGCGAATCTGAATCCATCGAGCTGCCGACCGATCAGCACCCATGTTAAGGCTTTTTATGAACACGATTTATATCCAATCTATTTTATTTTTTCATTTTTTGAGTTAAAAAAAAATATAGTTTTTTATTATTAATTTTTTTTAATTGAAAGGGTAAAATCGTCGTTTTGAGGCGGTATTTAGTAAAACACCGTTGATTGTTATTCGAACTGTACTATGAAACCATGGAATCAAGTGCGCAGGGGCAGCCACGCGTAACGAGCTCAGAGGATGATTGGATATAAAAAATTTTTGGTTTTGTTTGGATTTTTTTGTTTGGTTTGGTTAGTTTTGAAAAAGTTGGTATGGTTAGTTGTTAGTGGATATGTTCAGTGTTTTTCAACCCGGACCGGCCCGGTGGGTCGACCCGGGACCCGGTCGACCCGGAGCTAGAACCGGTCCGGGTGTGCTAATTAGACCGGATAACAAATGAACCGGTCAAACCCGGTCAAAACCCGGTCAACCCGTCCTTGACCCGGTCGACCCGGGGCATTGACCCGGCCGGGTCAACCCGGTTGACCCGGTTTCTACATATATTTTAAATTTTTTTATTTTTTTTGATTTTTTTAAAAATAAAACTATGTATATATATTTATATGGTAAATATTTATTATTAAAAAAATATTATTATCACTTTAATATACAAATTTTACATACAAACCATTTAATTTTGTTATTTTATGTATATTTATATGACAAAATACTATATATATATAATTTTAAAAATTTTAAAATTAATTATCCGGTTCAGCAATTGACCCGGTGACCCGGCGGTTGAACCGGTGACCCGGTGACCCGGAGACCTTCCCGGGTCAATCACCGGGCCGGGTTTAAAAACTATGGATATGTTAAAATAATATTTAAAACTAAATGATTAAAGTTGATTTGATGTAAAGTAAGAGAGAGGAGATTTGAAGTGATGGTTAGTTAAAATTATGTGAGTAGATGAATAGTGAATTAATGTGATGTTGTGTGTAAGAATGATTGATTTGATATTATTTAATTATATTGATAATATTGATGATAGTGGGGTTGAGTTAAAATTGAATTAAAAAAGTGGTTGAGTTAAAAATGTTTGGATTTTTTTAAGATAATTTTGTATCCAAACATGCTCTGAATATTCCCAAGTCCCAAAATTTCTAGGAATTAAAAAGAGTCCGTTAGTCAAAATGGAATAGAAATCTTTGATCCATGACTTCATCTTTCTTCCTTCCAATCAATGATTTTTCATCACATGCATGTGTATTGTTTTGAGTGGTCAATTCACTAACTTTTTTTTTTTTTAATTAAATAACTTGACCAGATACATGGGGGCATGCGTACTAAAAAAACATTACTACTTGTTAGTAGTAAGTGTTTTAACTTAACTAATACTCCGTAGTTGATTGTATTTATTATGTAGGATAATAATATAAAATGTTTGGCTAATAATTTATTGTCTAGCTAGTATTAGTTGAAAAGTTTTAAAGAAATACTTTATCATTGGTATTAATGGTGGATTCTAGCTAGTACTATTATTTAGGATGTACAATTTTTTGAGCTGCTAATTTATATATTTTTCAAGTTTAAATTTGTAATAAATAAATCTTATCATTAGTATTAATGAGAAACCTACATATAATTAATAGAGAAATATATAAACCTACATTTTAGAATAGATTTTCAACCATTTCGTAAAAATTGCTCTTCTATTTGGAGCTTTTGCAACATTAGCCTTTTGAAGTGAAAAAAAACTAATTGGAAGAGAGAATCTGACCGGTAAAACCTATCATAAGGTACAAACCATTTTTTTTTTTTTTTAATCAAACCCCTCTTTACCAAACACAACCATTGCAATGTCATATTTTTACCAAAATTTAAATATTTTGGTTGAAACAACCTAAGAAGCACTTACAAAAATAATATAAAATGAAGTTTTCTATATAAAATGGTATGCACTATAGTTAAAACAAATGTATATATATGAAGTAAAAAAGGAGTAGATACTACCAGTAGTATTGCCCTTTTTAACTGTCTAATAACAAATACACACATGACATGCCCACGGTTGGCCCGCCTGTCAACCAGCCTGCCCTGGCCGGTTTTTGAACCGGGCCTAAAATCCCTTAAGGGCGGGTTACGGGTCGTGTGTTGTACTTCTTTTTTACTCGTCGGTTGGGTCTGAGTTTTCCGACAGGTCACAGTTATTTTTTCTTTTTTTTTTTAACCGACGGTTTTGGCCAGTTCAATGAAAGGGCCCTTAGATATAGTCGGACTGGTTAGGGGCCTAGCATTTGAGGCCCGCAAACCCGACGGGCCGGGGCATGAACCGGCCCGGACTTTGGCCACATCTACTTGACACGTCCACAAAGATATGTATAAATCAGGCAGTTAAAATGCCCGTGTGGCAATGCCTACATTATATGGTGAAATTCACCATTACACTACAAGAAAATAATGAAATTCCAACGGAAATCTATTTCAAAAGAATTATTCCAACGACAATTCAACGGATATTTCAATACTATTATTTCCGTTGGAATTTTTCAATAGATTCCAACGGAAATTCTAACGAAAAATTTCCGTTGGAATGAATTTTCCGTTAGAATTTCCGTTGGATTTTGACGATTCTAACGGTGAATTTTTCAATGGCAACGGGGGTGCATGGAAATAAAAATTCCAACGGAATTTGCATATTGCAACGGAAATTCCTACGATAAAAAGGCGTTGGAAATATAGTTGTTGGAATAATCAAATTCCATCTAAAATTCCAATAAAAAACACATTCCAACTGAATATTTCCGTTGGAATTTCTGTTGGAACTATTCCAACAGAAGCTATACCATTGGAATTTCTATTGGAATATATTACCATAGGATTTTCCGTTGGAATATAACAATTATTTTGTAGTATTGGAATATAACAATTATTTTGTAGTGTTAGTACCATGATGAACATGTTAGTTAGATAAATTAGGAAAATTTTTACAAGCTACATATTTTTTATGGTGTATCTTTTAGTAAAAAATTAATATACATAGATTATAATTAAAGCTACAATTTTGTTAAATATAAATTCACAAATCTTTTTAAAAAACATTACGGTACCCACTACCCAACTACAAATATTAAAGTTACTACAAAAAATACTCTTACATTCCAACGGAAATTTTCCGTTGGAATTCTTTATATTTTCCGTTGAAATAGTTATTCTCACGGATATTCTTATAAATAAAAATTCATGGGAAAAACGGCCGTTGGAATAGCTAAAATCTAACGGAAAATCCTATGGAAATAAATTCCTACAACTATTCCAACGGAAAAAATCCGTTGCAATTCCTCAACCATCCAACACTTATTCCAACATAAAATATGTTTGTTGAAATATTCATTGGAATTTCCAACGAAAATTTTTGTCGTTGGAATTTTTCGTTGGAATTGAAGTGTTTTCTTGTAGTGAGTACTACATTTCATTACAAAAACATGTCAATTTTACAAAATATATATATTATCACTACAAAAAAATTAGTATATTCCAACAGGAAATCCTAGGGTAATATATTTCAACGGGTATTTCAATGGTATAATTTTTTTGGAATGATCTCAACAGTAATTCGAACGAAAATATTCCGTTGGAATGAGTTTTCTACTGAAACTTTAGATGAAATTTGATGATTCCAATGACTATTTTTCTAATGGATTTTTACCATAGTAATTTTTGTTAGAGTATGCAATTTTCGTTGGAATTTTTATCTCCACCCCCGTTGGAATCGTCAAAATTCAACAGAAATTCCAATGAAAAACTCATTCCCGCAGAATAGTTTTGTTATAATTTCCATTGGAATCCATTAAAATATATTTCCATTAAAATTTTCCGTTCGAATTTCATCATTTTTCTTTTTTGTAGTGTATGTGCCTAGTAGTATCTCAAATTCTCAATTACCAATTTTGCTATGAAGCCAACAGTTGACTCAACAGTGGAGACAACCTTCTATATACAACAAGTAAATTAAATAAATATATAATAATAATTTTATTAATATGGCATGATTTACTTGTTGTATATAGAAGACTGGCTCATACCACTATGGAGCCAACTGTTGTCTTCATAGCAAAACTGTCTCAATTACATTCTCTTTCATAAATTTATTTTTGTTATTTCTTCCACAAATAAACATTTATTATTCATCATTTGAACTGTTTAGAGTTATCAGCTAATTAGTGTTAACCACACAAGAACTTAATTTTATTTTTTTTGGTTTGGTACCAATGAATTGTGAGTTAGCAATCTTGATAGTTCTTGGTGAGGTTTGAATGGGTCAACATTTTGACTTGATTAGCCTTAAAATACAATTCATATGACCAAAGACCGGTCAATTAACCCCGAACAACAATCAAACTCGTCAATTTTTTCCTCAGTCAAAGTACTCTATGCTATTCTTCCACTTTATGTTACTCTATGTGTTCCT